AAATTAATATTGAGGCATGTATTTCAAGCAGCAGTTTTTGGTAAAACTTCTTGCAATACTGCTACGATCCTTGAACTTTTATATTTCAATTTAGCGAACAAAGAAGATTTATAATAATAACATTGTTGGAAGACGTTTCACGTAAAATTTAATCGAAGAACAACGCGTGCTGATGAGAGTTTCTTCATATTTTGTTTAAGCTTGAGATATTTTTTAATTTTGCAGAAATACAAATGAACGAATGAAAGCGATAATAAATGATATTTTATCAATGTTTTCATAGAAATAATTATTGTATGTTTGATATACAATAATTGTAATATTACAGTTACAGTAACTGCAATATTATAATTACAATAAGTACAATGTAATTCATACTTCGAGATGAAAAAGTGTTATAATGTCTGAAATTCAGGCTGAAATTTTAATATTTTAATATTTTGCGAGAATATCTTTGTTTGCTCAATACCTGTTTTATTAACTTCGTGAAATGTAAAATGTTAAGAAACGAATAAAAAAATGAACATCCAGCATTAGACAGACAACACTAAGTATAAGTGAAAGATATAAATGAAAATGAATAATGGTTTGTCCAAACACGAATTAAATAAATAAATAAATATATTACATATTATAGACAACATTAAATAATTTTCTGTTTAAAATACCCTGTATAAACATGCACGATATTAAATTAATATTGTATAAAAAATGACATACAATAACTACTGCAAGATATATGAAGAACAAATCAAATAGGAACGAACTCCATTTCCTCTTTTCAATATTTTTCTATTCCATTCCATTCAAACCATTCGTTGTCTTAAGTTTTTATTTCATTCTTTAATCCTTATTATTACTTAATATTTTACTTAATATTTTCGTTCTAATTTTATAAATTCATTATCCCTTTATTTCTATTAATAAATATCACGCTTCCATTTTTATTCTCTCTTATCCATTATATTTTATTATTACGTTTCTATTTTATATGTCTCGTGTTTTATTTTACTTTCTATTTTATGATATCATTTTATGATTTAATTCCTATTCATTTATTTACTTATTGTCAGGTAAAATACATTTCTGGAGCATATTCAATCATCTCCGATTTGATTAGATTAATATTACTGCTAGACCAGTTTACTTACATACATTTAATTTCCAACGTCTCTAAAATAGAAGGAGCAGCTTCAAGTCCCTCTTAATTGTACATAACAAAAGAAGATGACCCCTTGAATATAGTTTCAAGAAGCTCAATAATTAGATTCACTATGATACGTTAAATAGTTACAATTATCGTTCGCACGAGTGAGTTTCGCTTCCAAAACAATTTAAATTCACATCGAAATATTCCAGGAGCATTGCCGAATAGTCGAGAATGTCCGATAATCTGGCAGTGAGATCTCGTTAGTGCCGGATTATCGGAGTTGCTATACCTAATTGTTTATTCTAAATCTAGCACAGTCCTAAGCAGTGGAATGTCTGAAGATTTAGTATTATGTCTCCAACGTTTAATATCGGAGGATTATGGGGGACCTTCACCCACAAAACTATCACAGTATAACACATCTCCGTGTAAACTCACCGTGTGAGAAAATTACATTTATTATTACGTTCATTATTTATTATTATTTACGTGGTAACAGTTGCTACCATTAATTTGTGGTAACTATATTTCTTTCGAGGTATTACCATTATTATTTTTAAGTGACTCTGAGTTATTGAGATGCTTACAGATATATCACATGTTTTTTTTTTTAATATATTATTATATATATTACCAATTTTGTTAATTTATATTACACCTGACTGTAGTATTATATGTATTATAATATACATATAATTATTATTATTATATATATAATATTAAGTATAGCCAATTTTATTGACTATACTATTGACTTATTACAGAACTGTGGATTTTTATGCACTTACAAAAATTTTTATAAATTTGACAGAATTTACGAAAACTCTAATATCCGGTATATGAAATAATTTTCGGGCTTCTACTTTCTATTAAACTGATATTTATTAATTATCAATCATGCTGATTTCATACTGATATTTATTAATTTATTAACTATATTTTTGTATTATAGTAGTTCATATACTATTTAGTTATTTAACAATTGTATTATTATATTGCTATACTAATATCAATTGTTACTTATTTATATTATGCTATATATATTTATATACTATATACTATATATACACTATACATTTATTATTATTATTATATATATACACTATACATTTACTATAATTATATTCTCAAAGATATGCGTAGAAATCTGCAATTTAGTTACTACATACTATAAATATAAAAAATTGCTTTACATTTTAATTTATGTATTACAATAATGGAAAGTATTGATGGTAGTATTAATGGTAGTATTGATTAACCCGAACGAATCACAACGACGCTAGTCCCTTTTCATTAACAGTGACAATGAAGAACGCCATTAAACAAGTCATTAAGTCGAAGTTTTCTTCTTAATTGCTTTGATCACCTCGAAATTAGTTTAGCGTAAGCGTAATTCCTCTTGAGTAAGTTTTAGACTTCCCATGGAGTTCCCAGTCTCGACTGGATCAATCTATTTGGTATATTTCGATCGAATAGTGATATATCTGAAACTACCCTATATTCCACATTAATTAATGGAATTGATACCACTATTGACAAGTTTAATGGACAATGACAATCTAAATAATTATGTTGCTTATTTCTCAAATTTTATTTCACATTGTATTTGATATGTTCATCCATTTTTATATTTTCTTTCATTTCAGACTCATTCCATATTGTAATTAATTTGACAGTAGGTATATTTTTTAAAAATATTTTCTTAACAATCAGCTTGAAATGTTTTATCAAACATTTCGGATATGATAAATTTAAACGAAGTCTTTTTCCGTGAAATGAAAATATAACTTGACAGTGATTTTTCATAGAACAAAAATATCACGATTGAAGTATTAAAAATCATGTAAGGTTGTAGAATTATTATTTCTTCGTTTAAAGGTAACGTAGAATTATAACGCCATTTGCCTTTGCCAGATTTATTTTCTGACGTTAAAATCGTCACTCTCTACTCGAGTGTACTTACACGTAACAGCATAGTCTGCACAATAACGGATTCAAATTGAATTCACGGGTTGAATTTTTTTTTTTTTTTTTTTTTTT